CAATACTTTTATACAAAATTCATAACTTGGTGGTAAGACAATTAGTTCTAAAATAAGAGATTTTAATTGCATGGGTGATGTGGCGTAATGAGGAGAGTTCAAATCTTATACTATTTTATAGTAAGAAATAGTGAGTAGCCCGGCCGTTGCCCCAGGATACTACTTGTTGGACTTAATGATTTTGATGATGACACAAACTCACTTACTTACAAACTAATAAGTGTTAGATTGTTTAAGTGTGTACTTAGTAGCAAAGATCAGGAGAATTAAGTGTCTTGTAAAGATACCATGAGGAATAAGAAGGCCAGAAGCAGAGTTATCCATAAAGAAGAGTTCCTTTGCAGGAACTGGTGCTTCAAAAATGAAGACTGGAGAAGAGAAGGTTCCCCTCAAGGAACAGAAGCTTCAGAGAAGAAGCCTCATCAGAGAAGAGAAGTTCCTCCCAAGGAACAGAAGCCTCGGAGTAGAAGCTTCATCAGAGACATGAAGACTAAAATATATTTTATATTCTAGGATTTATGTAAGTATAAGATATGTAATTACACTCGAAAAATCTGTGTGGAATTGGTCTAAAAAGATAAAATTGTGCATGCTAGTTTTTAGGAAAGTGGTTAAGTCTTTAACGTTTATCTTTTTTTTTTCTTAACTAAAAAGATTTTATTTTATTTCTGATTTTTGAAAATATCTCCTGAAAATAAAATCTCCCACGTTTTCTAAAAGCTTGCGGCCTACTCCTCCATGATTTGCTTCAAGTCATGGTCTTGCACATTGAGGAGTTCATGGTTCCTTAATTTTAGGAACATGATCTTCTTAGTGGGTTGGAGTAGTGGCGTAATGGATTTGTTGCACAAAGAAGTTTTTCCTAAACGAATTTTGGTCTATAATAGTTGTTGATTTCATATGGAAAAACTCACCCTTGCTCACATAAGTTTTCAAGCTTTTTATTTGAGTCAAGTATCAATTCCACACAAGTTCATTAGAGTGTTCTTAATGTTCTTATACTAGAGTTTGTTTATCTTTCGAGTTGCAATTTGGGTAATGGGGAAGTTTGAGTGAACTTTTATGTATGAGAAAAAGAAGTGAGAAAGAGAAGAGAGAACAGAGAAGTGAGAAGAGAGAAAGAGAAGAGAAGAGTGACAAGTTGGGTGACTTGTTCCTCGGGGTTTCAAGTTCGTAGAGGAACTTGAGTTTGAGTCTTTAGTTTGTAATAGGACCTTTTGCCCCATTCTAGTGAAGATTCTTTTCCCAAAATCCCAAGTGGTCATGGTTTTTCTCCTTGTTAGGGCCAAGGGGTTTTCCACGTAAAAATCTCTCTTGCATCTTTAGTTCCTTTAGTTAATCTTTCTGTTCCTTTAGCTTACTTAATCTTAATTCCGCAAAAAGTTTGGCTAAATTCTCATACTACAATTCAACCCCCCTTCTTGTAGTATTCTTTGAAACAACAATTGGTATCTGAGCCTAACTTCTAAGAAAATTAGGAAACCCTGAAGAAGAAAGGTCTTGGAGAAAATGAATACTCATGAAAAGCTCGAGGAAGGATACTCAACTCAGAGACCTCCTATGTTCAACGACAAGTTCTATACCTATTGGAAGAACCGCATGGAGATCTTTATCAAGGTAGAGAACTACTAAGTCTGGAGGGTCATCGAGGTTGGTGATTTCGAAGTCACCAAAACAAATGCTCAGAATGAGGTAATCCTTAAGCCTATGTCTGAATATGAGAAAGATGACTTTGATAAAATGGAAATAAATTCTATGGCTGTAAAATTGCTCCACTGTGGACTTGGACCTCATGAACACAATCGTGTTATGGGGTGCAAGAACGCTAAGGAAATCTGGGATTTGCTGCAGATCACTCATGAAGGAACCAATGAGGTTAAACGCTTAAAAATCGATCTACTTATGTCTAAGTATGAAAGATTTGAAATTCAGCCTAAGGAAACCATTCAAGAGATGCTAACACGTTTTACTAACATCATAAATGAGTTGGTTTCCCTTGGTAGACAGATTCCTACAGATGAGCAGGTTAGGAGGGTTCTTAGAAGTCTTCCACAAGATGAGATATGGAGAGCTAAGGTGACAACCCTTTAGGAAACGAAGGACTTTGCTAAGTTCAATATTGAACAACTAGCAGGTTCTCTCATGACTCATGAGCTACACCTTGGAGTCAACAATGAACCCATGAGGAATAAGGGATTGGCTCTTAAGGCTGATGAGGAGGAAGACTCAGAAGTGGACGAGGATGAGGCTGCCTTGATTGTGAGAAAATTCAAGAAAATGTTCAAGAAAGGCCGAACCTCAAGGAACTTCGAGAAAAAGACCTCAAATCCAAAACCTGACTACAGCTGCCACAAGTGTGGATCCCTAGATCACTTTATCAGAGACTGTCCCCTTTGGGAAAATGATAAAGGGAAGGGAAAGGCTAAGGAACAGGGAAGAGAAAAATTCAACAAAGCAAATTATCAAAAGTCAAACATGAGGAAGGCCATGATAGCAGCCTGGGGAGACTCACACAGTGAAGAAGAAGAGGATGACCAACCAGAAGAGGAGACGACCAATCTTTGTCTGATGGCTAAATCAGATGATGAAAAGGCTTACCTTGAGGAACTCCAGAAAGAGGTATTTCTTGATCCTAAACAGCTTAAAACTCTCTCTAAAGATGTCTTAATAGATATATGTCTAGAAGAAGAAGAATTCTTTAGAGATACATGTGTGAAGTTGAATAAATGTGAAAAAAGCTCTTAAGGTTTGCAAAGAACATGGTGCTTGGTTGGAAACAGCCTATGCCAAGTCTCAAAGAAAATTAAGAGAGCTTGATTTTAAATACAAACACATAACTAAGATAGCTGATACAATTAAGAATGAAAGTATTCTTCTGAATATTGAAGTAACTCAGTATAAGCTCATGATTTCTGATATCAGTTCTAGCAGTTCCTCAAGCGATCAGTTGCTTAAATTCAATGTTGATTTTGAAAATTTAAAAAATGAGCTTTCTACTTTAAAAACCCAAAAGGATCAACTTGAATTGGAACTGAATGCTAGAAAGGATAGAAGTATTGACCCAAAAGTCATACCTAAGTGGATAGCTGAAGCTCAAGGAAAACGAACTGAAGGTCTTGGTTACATGACCAAGAGGAAAGGTAAGCAAAAGAAATATGTTGAGCTTCCTAGCATGAAGGTATGTAATTTTTGTGGTAAGACTGGACATCTCTATGAACAGTGTGGGATAAGAGAAGAAGCTGATAAAATAAATGTAAAACAAGTGTGGGTCAAGAAAACTGATATTGCATCCACGTCTAAGGAACCCAAGGAAACCTGGGTTCCTGATCCTAATGCTTAGTTTTCTTGCAGGTCCTAGTGAGGGGGAACAACTCGTGGTATCTCAACAACGGTTGTTCAAGCATATGACGGGTGATAAATCAAAATTCCTCTCACTAGAAGACTACCCTGGAGGAACAGTAACCTTTGGGGATAATAAGAAGGGCGAGATCATTGGAAAAGACAAAATTGGAATATCTAAATCTCATTCCATTGATAATGTGTTCCTGGTCGAGGGCTTAATGCACAATTTGCTCAGTATATCCCAATTCTGTGATAAGGGAAACTCTGTAAGTTTTACTTCTGATTCTTGCAACATCATCAACAACAAGTCAAGAAAGGTTGTTCTAGAAGGAACAAGAAGAGGGAACACTTATACAGTTGACCTCAACTTGATCCCAAGGAACAACCTTACATGTCTGAGTGTTGTTGAAGATGATCCCCTGCTATGGAATTTGGTTGTGGGACTTCCTATTATCAAGTTCCTACAGAACAAAGTTTGTGATGCATGTGTGAAAGGCAAGCATGTTCGTTCATCTTTTAAATTGAAGAAAATGGTAAGCACTACAAATCCTTTGGAATTGATCCATATGGATTTGTGTGGTCCCATGAGAATTCAAAGAAGGAGTAGCAATAAATATGTTTTGGTTATTGTTGATGATTATTCTAAATTCACTTGGGTTATTTTTCTTGCTAGTAAAGATGAAACTTTTAACGAGTTTGTTGCCTTTGCCAAGAAAATATAGAAAATCAGTGGTCACTCCATAGTCCATCTCAGATCAGATCACGGAACTGAATTTGAGAACTCAAGATTCGATGAGTTTTGCAGGGAAAATGGTATGAATCATAATTTCTCAGCTCCAAGGACTCCCAAGCGGAATGTAGTTGTAGAAAGGAAGAATCGAACCCTTGAGGAAATGGCTAGAACGATGCTGATTGCAAGTGGATTGCCAAGGAACTTCTGGGCTGAAGCCGTGAATACAACATGTTGCATTCTTAACAGGGTAACAATCAGAAGTATCATCAACAAGACTCCCTATGAACTATTCAGGGGAAGGAAGCCAAACATATCTCATCTTAGAGCCTTTGGTTGTAAGTGCTTTGTACATAATAATGGTAAGAAAAACCTAGGAAAATTTGATGAAAGAAGTGAAGAGGCCATATTTCTAGGATATGCCTCTGATAGCAAAGCTTATAGAGTTTACAATAAAAGCTCAATATGTGTTGAGGAAAGCATTCACATAATCTTTGATGAAGTTAACTAGTTTGTTAGTGTGCAGGAATTAGACGATGATAATGATTTTGAAATTGGATTGATAAGAGACAGGGATGAAGAAGAGACTCAGAAGCAAACCAAGGAAAAGCAGCCTGCTCCAGAAGAGGATCATCAAGAAAATGGAGAGGTTGCTCAACCAGATGAACAGGTGAATGAGGAACAAGCAGAAGAAGCAGGAGGAACAGAACCAGAAGCTCCTCAAATTGGAGTTTCAGCAAGGGAATTTCAACCCAGGCCATTCAAGTATCAAGGTTCCCATCCAACTGATCTCATTATCAGTGATATAGGAAAAGAAACTCAAACAAGATCACAAATGAGGAACTACTGTGCATTCCATGCATTTCTGTCCATCCTAAAGCCAAGAAATCATTAATAAGCCTTAGGAGATGCTGATTGGATAGTGGCTATGCAAGAGGAACTCAATGAATTCGAAAGAAACAAAGTTTGGCACCTTGAGCCAAAGCCTAAGGGAAAGAAAGTTATTGGGATGAAATGGGTGTTCAGGAACAAGCTTGATGAACATGGCACCATAGTAAGGAACAAGGCTAAATTGGTTGTGAAGGGCTACAACCAACAGGAAGGTATTGATTTCGATGAAACCTTTGCTCCTGTAGCTAGATTAGAAGCTATTAGAATCCTAGTAGCTTTTTCTTCTTTTATGGGTTTCAAGCTCTATCAAATGGATGTGAAATGTGCTTTTCTTAATGGTTTCTTAAATGAGGAGGTTTTTGTTGAACAACCTCCAGGTTTCGAAAATCTAAAATTTCTGAATCATGTTTTTAAGCTTGATAAAGCTCTCTATGGGCTTAAAAAAGCTCCAAGAGCCTGGTATGAAAGGCTTTCAAAGTTCCTACTAAAAAATGATTTCAAAAGAGGAAAAGTAGACAAAACTCTTTTTCTTAAATCTCGAGGAACTGATTTGTTAGTTATATAGATCTATGTAGATGATATTATATTTGGTGCTACTAACAATAGTTTGTGCAAATACTTTGCTGAGCTAATGGGTGGTGAATTTGAGATGAGCATGATGGGCGAATTAAATTTCTTCCTTGGACTTCAAATAAAGCAAAAAGTTGAAGGAATAATGATTCACCAACAGAAATATGTCAAGGAACTTCTGAAGAAGTACAACATGGAGAATGCCAAGACAAATCATACACCTATGGAAACAACAACAAGACTTGATGAGGATCCACAAGGAAGAAGTGTGGATCAAACCACTTATAGAGTTATGATTGGTTCATTATTATATCTAACAGCCAGTAGGCCTAATATTTATTTTAGTGTTGGATTGTGTGCTAGATTTCAGTCTAATCCTAAAGAATCACATCTAACGACTGTTAAGAGAATTTTGAGACACCTCAAAGGAAAAGATGACCTGTGTCTGTTCTATCCTAGAAGTGATGACTTTATGATTAGAGGATTCATAGATGCTGACTATGCAGGTGACTTAGTGAACATGAAAAGCACCTCAGGTATGGTTTAGTTCCTTGACTCTTGTCTAGTTGCTTGGGGTTCCAAGAAACAAAATAATGTTGCATTGTCTACTGCAAAGGCTGAGTACGTAGCAGCAGCTGCTTGTTGCTCTCAAGTCCTTTGGATCAAAAAACAGCTACGTGACTTTGGTATTAAATTTAATTACATTACTATCTACTGTGATAACACTAGTGCAATTTGCATATCTAAAGATCCAGTCCATCATTCAAGAGTCAAGCATATTTATATAAGGCATCATTTCCTTAAGGATAATGTTGAAAAGGGTTTGATTAAATTAGATTTCTGCCAAACTAACAATCAAATTGCAGATATTTTAACAAAACCCTTGAATAGAGAAAGGCATGAGAAGATGAGAATGGAACTTGGGATGATTAAGTTATACTGAGAAAAATGCATCAAGTTCCCTCAGGTGTGAAACTCAAACTAATGTGCTTAACTATTGTATACTTTGCACAAGTGTTATATGTTTAATTACATAGTTAAGACAGGCGGTAAGCAGGAGTAATATTTGCTAAGGGCATGTAAATTTGGAAGACATAGATGTGAAAGTCCAAAATTGGTTGCATGAGCCTTGTTGAATTGTTATGTGTATCAATTTGTATTTGCAAGTGTGTTTCTTCTGATTTAATTCAAGAGAAAAAATTATTGTGGTTATCTATTTTTTTCAAAATTCCAAATTCTTTTTATCTAAACACAAAAATCAGATGAATGCATCTAATATTCATCATTATCTTTTGTTCAAAAGTATCCCACTCACATTACTCTCTTAAAACACGGTTTGTGTTTCCCTAAACAATAAATATCAGTGTCAAATCAACTTAATTCACCTCACCTCCCAAACGACACCTCATTTCACCAATTTACCTCCACCATAAAACATGTCAGCCTCACAAAAATTTACACCACACAAAAACTACCTTCTCTCTCATCACTCTGATCAAAACTACTCTCCAATGTCTACCTCTCCAAAAACCCAAATTGAAGCCGAATTAAACACAAAACCAATCCCAGACATCACCATGGAAATTCGACCGGAAATCACTCCCATCGAAGTTCAAGAGCCTCCAAAAGTCGATTCGACTACCGAATCTCAGTCTTCTTGCAAAAGGAAGTCTGATGACATGCAAGATGAAGAAGAAAGTGCTCCGGAACTAGGGGTCAATTACCGGGACAAGCTAGCAGCCATGAAAAGGCAAGAGAAAATTGGTGATCACTTTGTGACAGGTTTGACTATTAATCTTTCTTGGTGTAAGTCTGTTAAGTTGTATGAACTGCTTGATTTGATTGAGTCTCAAAATTAGGTGAATTTGTTGAGTGAATGCTTTAATCGGAGTTTGTATGTTGATGTTATGAAGGATTTTTGCAAAAGTTTTAAATATTCTAAAGGTGTTATTCGTTGCTGTGTGTATGGAAAAGAAATTGAGTTTGATGCGATGTACTTGGCTGAGTTGTTTGATGTTCCTAATACTAGATATGATCTATATTTCAAAAGTAATGTGATAAGGAACCCTCTTCCTGATGCAAAAATTGATGAAATAGTGGAGTTTCTAGGTGGTGACCTGGAGGAAACCTACATAAACCACAATGACCTAACCCCTCTTGACAAAATTCTGCTGAATTTTGTTTTTAATGACATAATTCCTCGCTCCCAAAAGAGAGACAGTGCCAACAAGCTTGACTCTATTCTCATTTACTGCCTAGCAAAAAGGATCCAAATCGACTTTCCCTCTATCATGATCCAACACCTTTCCCACTGTGTTCCAAAAGGATGGAAGGTGGGATATGGTAACCTACTTACCTATGTCTTCGAAAGCTTTGGTATCTCCTTTGCTGATAAAGAACCCCTGCCCCTCAAAAACACCGAATACATGCAACCTATTTTCCTTGAAAACCATAAGATGAAGGTTGTGGATGGATGTTTTGAAGTTGTGCTGGAGGAAAAGGAGAAAAGGCCTAAGGAAGTAGGTGCCCTAGCCGAGGGGGAAGAAGAGAGGGCTACGGGGATAGTAGAGGGAGTAGTGCAGGATATTCAGGAGGAGGAAGAGGAAAAGATAGTTGAGGAGGTCACTGAAACAGGGGGAAGGAAGAAAAGGAAGAGCTTGAGGTTGATGAAGAAAACTGAGACCTCTGCACCCATTTGCATTGATATCACTGGGGTGCAAGAGGGTTTGTAGAAAGTCACAAGCTCTCCTATTTCGGGAAAGTATGCATCTGCAGGAACAGGTTTTGCAGCCTTCAGTTCCCCTCAAAAGGTTCTCAGGGAAGATGTGAAGGAGCTGAAGGATACGCTTCTTAAGGTGCTGAAGGAACAAGAGCAGTCAAAGTTGCAGATGGAGGAATTGAAGAAGAGTGTGCTCACTCTGAATGTTGATGTCAAGAAGCTGGTCTCAAGCACTGAACAAGGGAGACAGTCCATTGTGAAGGACATAGTGTCTCAAATCAGCAAGAAGCTGGAGGATCTTGCTGTTGATGATGACCAGAGCATTGATTATTAATCTATCTTTCCTTGTAGCCTCTTTATGTTGATGAAACTTATATTTTATCTATTTTTGGGAAACAATTTTTAATTTGGTCTGTAATATTTTTGGCACTTCTTAATTTCTTTTGGTAAACTTGCAAATTTGGTACATTTGGCCAATGTTTTAAATCGGTTTTGGATGATTAATATCTATGTATATTATGCCTATATGCTTTGTGAATGTTTTCTCTCTATGCATGTTTCTTGTCTTAACACTAAACCACTAGATGGTGCTGTGTTATGGTATACTATATGCTTGTATGTTGGTTTTTGATAATGCCAAAAGAGGGAAGAGATGCAAACTATCAAGGAAACTTAATCATTCTATGGTCTCTGTTCGAAATCTTCACAAGCTGCTTACTCTGTACAAGCAGGTATAATGTATATACAAGTTTTTTCAAGTTTTTCAGTTTTTCCTTAAGATATTTATTTCTGCATTGTTTTTATTTTCTTAGCATTAGTTCCCTTTCCGCATTACACTTTGTTTTTGCATTTTCTTTCCTTTAGGAATAAGTTGGATTATCTCTGTTTCCTTGTAAGTAAGTTTGGTTTGTTTGTCATCATCAAAAAGGGGAATATTGTTGGAATTAATGATTTTGATGATGACACAAACTCACTTACTTACAAACTAATAAGTGTTAGATTGTTTAAGTGTGTACTTAGTAGCAAAGATCAGGAGAATTAAGTGTCTTGTAAAGATACCATGAGGAATAAGAAGGCCAGAAGCAGAGTTATCCATAAAGAAGAGTTCCTTTGCAGGAACTGGTGCTTCAAAAATGAAGACTGGAGAAGAGAAGGTTCCCCTCAAGGAACAGAAGCTTCAGAGAAGAAGCCTCATCAGAGAAGAGAAGTTCCTCCCAAGGAACAGAAGCCTCGGAGTAGAAGCTTCATCAGAGACATGAAGACTAAAATATATTTTATATTCTAGTATTTATGTAAGTATAAGATATGTAATTACACTCGAAAAAGCTGTGTGGAATTGGTCTAAAAGGATAAAATTGTGCATGCTAGTTTTTAGGAAAGTGGTTAAGTCTTTAACGTTTATCTTTTTTTTCTTAACTAAAAAGATTTTATTTTATTTCTGATTTTCGAAAATATCTTCTGAAAATAAAATCTCCCACGTTTTCTAAAAGCTTGCGGCCTACTCCTCCATGACTTGATTCAAGTCATGGTCTTGCACATTGAGGAGTTCATGGTTCCTTAATTTTAGGAACATGATCTTCTTAGTGGGTTGGAGTAGTGGTGTAATGGATTGCTGCACAAAGAAGTTTTCCCTAAACGAATTTTGGTCTATAAATAGTTGTTTATTTCATATGGAAAAACTCACCCTTGCTCACATAAGTTTTCAAGCTTTTAATTCGAGTCAAGTGTCAATTCCACACAAGTTCATTAGAGTGTTCTTAATGTTCTTATACTAGAGTTTGTTTATATTTCGAGTTGTAATTTGGGGAATGGGGAAGTTTGAGTGAACTTCTATGTATGAGAAAGAGAAGTGAGAAAGAGAAGTGAGAAAAAGAAGAGAGAACAGAGAAGTGAGAAGAGAGAAAGAGAAGAGAAGAGTGACAAGTTGGGACTTGTTCCTCGGGGTTTCAAGTTCGTAGAGGAACTTGAGTTTGAGTCTTTAGTTTGTAATAGGACCTTTTGCCCCATTCTTGTGAAGATTCTTTTCCCAAAATCCCAAGTGGTCATGGTTTTTCTCCTTGTTAGGGCCAAGGAGTTTTCCACGTAAAAATCTCTCTTGCATCTTTAGTTCCTTTAGTTAATCTTTCTGTTCCTTTAGCTTACTTAATCTTAATTCCGCAAAAAGTTTGGCTAAATTCTCATACTACGATTCAACCCCCCTTCTTGTAGTATTATTTGAAACAACACTACTTTTATTGTTGTGCAATTGTTGTAGTATGTTCTTTTAATACTTTTAT